ATGGGTGAAAGATAAGTAGCAAAATTATAAACCAATATTAGTGAAATAATCTTTCAGTGTTTGCCATATTCTCTCAAATGGTATAGGGTTGTTCATATTTGTTATGAAACAAATATTTGTTATATTGTTGTGTTCATACATTTATAGCCACAGACTGATGCTGAGAAACATTCAGCCACTGAGCGAAACTCAAGCTGGTCTTGTGATGAAGTCAAGAAATCAGACGGCGGTTCGGACAGCAGCGTGAAAATGGAGTCGGGCTCAAAATGGCGGCAAAACCCTTCTGATGTATCAGATGAGTCGGATAAGGGAGGATCTGGGAAAAAGGGTGGTGCCATCTCTCAGACTGGTTCATGGAGGCGGGGCATGAGTGCCCAGGTTGGCGTGACTGCGCCACGCACAAAAAACACGACAGTTACCTCAGGACCAGGCATGATGAAAACACATGGGACCGGTGGGTTTGCTTTAGCTATGTTGCTACACTGGCCTTCTTTAGACTCTGTCCAAAAATTAGAAAACACAAAATCTGTCCTAACAAGATAGTGGTCATTTTCTGTTTGAATTTACATACTTTGTTATTGTTGGTGTGTGAGGGTCTGTGTGTATTTCTCATAATGCTCTGCCAGCCGAGGGGTGGTTTACAGACATCAGAGGTGTGTTTTAGGAAATATGGTTAGCTGCATTAGCTGTAGCATAGCGCTAGAAGTCATTATGTTTTTAGTATCCTTGTGTTCTCTGACTGTGCAGATTTATGTAGCGTACTAATCTCATACACTAATCACTAATTAGGTGAGTAGCTAGTTGGCTGTATTTACCTAACAGTGAGTTACTAAATCAGTGGGTGAAATTCTGTTCTTTAGTATCTCTTGTTTCTGAAGCAGTATGTGAGTACAAATTATATTTATTTAACTTAACTCAGTAACCATTTCTTGTTATAATAAATATACAAGACTTTTATTTGTGCTGTCTGCCTTTTGTAGCTAAAACGGACGACGCTAAAGTGTCAGAGAAAGGCCGCATTTCTCCCCACACAAACAACATCCAGAGCTGTGACCCTGCCCCTTCCCGTGTTTCCTTCGGCTTTAAGAAACCCACCTCCGGGTCCGTATCTGGTCCCACTGCCACAGTAACGACCTCCAGCACAGCCATGGTGTCAGCTAGCAGAGTCACGGTCATCAGTGGCTCAGCCACACTTGGGAAAATCCCCAAATCCATGGCACTGATGGTGGGTGGAGTCAGATCTGGTCTGAAAGGGTCAGCACCAGAGTGTGCCATGGTGACTCAGGAGGATGGCAGCCTAGCAACCAGTGTCAGGTCAACACTGCAGTATCGGAGTCTGCCACGACCTTCACGCTCCACCCACAACCGCTCATCCACCAGCAGCATTGAATCAGGATCGAGCAGCCGAAGCCCTGCCATCAATGTTACTGTCTCAGCCAATAAGACACGAGAGTCCATCCCCAATGCGAAAACCAATCAGACAGACAAGGAAAAGGGCGGAGTCTCAGAGACGGACAACTTGAGAGCAAACGTGGTTGGCTCAAGTTCGACAATTCCACAGACAGCGAGACAAGGAAGTAAATATACAGAGGTTTCATCTCCCACACTGCGCAGGTACACACACACTCACACAAGTAAAAAAAAAAAAAAGGTGGTTTTCTTCATGGGTCCAGTCAGATGTCCCCACAAAGGTTCAAACTGTCTGATATTCCTATCCATGTGGGGACATTTGGACCTCATTGTGATATAAAAACATGCACATGCACAAATGCGTTGAAGTGGTCTTGTGAGCTGCTGCCCCCAGTGGACTATAGTAGTACTTGCGCATAAACATCTTAAATATTGGTTTTGTGCTGTCTGGGATGGACAATTTACAGAAACTATTGTTATTAAAAATAATTGTTATTTTTCTAACTAACATTATGATTGTGATATTTTTACTTTCAATAAAAAAATGTGTTTGCTTGCAATAAGATCAGGCATATTTAGTATATAAGGCAACAGGTTTTAAGCAGTTTGAAGGTAAGATGTAGGTGAATGGAAACTGTTAATGAATATCAAAAATCCTTATTTGACTAGCTAGCAGACTGTCTAACTAGCTAGAGCTTGCTATTTACTAAAAAGTTAATTTATTCCATTTGCGTAACGTTAATGCCTGTCATAAGGTCAGAAAAATACACTCTCAGCTCTTTATTTTGTACTTTTCTTACTCCCTGTTTTATTTCAGCCTTCTTATCCTATTTGTCTTTAGACTTTTTGGAGGTAAAGCTGCTAAGCAGGCCACTGCCACAGAGAACCTGAAGAACTCTGTGGTCATTTCAAACCCTCATGCCACACTGGGACACCACCCTGTGCCCTCTGCTGGGCCCCTGGACTCCCCCTCAGCGGGCAGTAGTGGGGGTGCAGGGGGCAGTGAGCAGGTGTCCAGCCCTGGCTCGGGCTACTCAGGGGGCACGGGCACATGGGGCCACCCCTCTGTCAGCAGCATGCACACCAGCACTGAATCTATCGATATGTCAGTCAGCAGTGGGCATCAGCGTGACAACGGCCACCACCCAATCACTCGCACTGGAAGCGCCAAGACGGAGAGGTGAGTTGGATGAGAGGAGGCATCAGAGGTCCTTGAATAGGATATATAGGTATTTGGATATGTAGGTATCCGAATGGAGTATTTGGACAGGGGTAATTCTGTGAGGTCGTTTGGATGCATTTGTTTGAAATGTTGCTTGCCTTATTCAGCTGGTTTATTTAAACAGGGTATTTATATCTGAGTTTTGGAACAGGGGTACTGGATTTTAGAATTTAGATGTGATGTTTGGTCAGAACTTTGCTTTCTTTTTTTAATAATGGATATTTAACAGGGGTATTCAAGATAGGCAGGGTAATTGATAGGTATTTGAATGGGATGTTTAGACAGAGGTATTTGATTAGCGTAACTGAGCAGAGTAGGACAGGGATTTTGGATATTTGGTTGAGGGAGGCATTTGTTTTTGGATTGCAGTGTTATTAGGAAGGAATAGTTGAGTGAGATCATTTGGATGGGTTTATTTAATTGTATGTGTTGATATTAGTCTGTATTGGTATTCAGGTTGGGAAAATGAGTCAGTGTTTTGTTAGGATATCTAAATGGAGTATTTGGATGGAGTGTTGTTGGCTGAAGTTTAAGGTCTGGTGTTTCCCAATATTGTATACATAATTCTTCTTATGTCCACCCTCCCAACCTTATTCTCTTTTTCTCTCCTCTAATCCCTAATTCCTCTATTAGTCCCTTCTCTTCCCCCTCTGCTAGTCCCAAATTCAGCCGCAACACCTTGCCTCGGAAACAGGACAGGTAAAGGTGTTTGTGTGCTTAACCACTGCTAACTAACACCTGTGGTTTCTGTGCTTTTGTCTTTTGCCCTTGCGTTGATTTTTCTATTGGCACCCCCTAGTGGTTACTTTACCTAAATGCTTTCCTGAACCCCACTAACGTAGCAGCTTCTTGATTTAATTTGCTATCACAGAAAGTTTGTGTGTGTGTGTGTGTGTGTGTGTGTGTGTGTGTGTGTGTGTGTGCGCGTGTGTGCGAGTGAATTACTCGAATGCTGTGCTATATATTGTACAATTGTGTAGCTTGCATTCCACTTTTAAGTATTTATCACAAAATTTGCTGTCACTGTTTAATTTACATTTCAGCAGTGCAGTGAATGTGTCAGCCCTGATTGTTATGACAAATGTGTGAGATTGCTGAACGTTTTTGTTCTACAAAATGTCATTGTAACTGCACTAGCAATAACAGTGTCCCCCATGACATCAGCGTGGCGCCCGACTTCTCACAGGAATAAAAAAAAAAAAAACAGCACTTATCAATAAATAATTCAGTAATAAATTTTCATGTTTTAGGGTGGACTTGATCTTTAAGAGAGAATCATAACAGGTTTTAGCTGACATTTGATGTAAGGGGGAATTTGGATAAGGGGTATTTTTATTTTTTTTTGGTCACGCTGTCCCTTTAAGGGAAGTTGACGAGGCTGCTTTAGAAACAGTATTGCTAGCTTTATTTTCCTGTTTGGTCACCTCTGGCACACTTCTTTAGTATTTGTGCACATTCCTTGTGAAGTTAAGGCACCTGTGTGTGTGTGTGTGTGTGTGTGTGTGGGCAAGCTGTGCCAGCGCATTATTTTTAAGTTCAGCTTTGTGATGTCCCTTCCTGTTGCTGTGTAGCTTTATCCTGGAACAAGCTGCTAGCATGCTGATGTTGAGTAAATCTTTGCTTGTCAGCTCAGTCAGACTTAATAACAGCTTTCGCATCACACACACACACACACACACACACACACACACACACACACACACACACACACACACCACAGATTCATCAGTAATGAGAGTCTATTATGCCAAAAGTGGTGAAACTTTTATTTTTACCTGACACTGATTTGTCAGTTGGAGAACCTGTGATTCTTTCCTGCAGGTACACCCCCTCGCCACAGCTCCGCCCAGAGGAGGCCCGTGATTGGCTGCGCTCGCATTCTATCAGCGGACTGCAGGAGTCGGCCAGTAACTCACCTTTTTCTACCGGCTCCAGTGTGACCTCACCATCTGGGACGCGTTTCAATTTCGCACAGCTTGGTAAACTGGACTTCTTTATGTTCATCAACATAAATCAGGCGTGCTCAGAGAATTGATTACACCACAATACTCAAACCAGAGAGATTTTTTTTGTTTTTTAAACTGTGTGAGTAAGGGACTTCAAGTGTCCCTATGTGTATTCAAGTGTATGTGTGTGTGTGTGTTTGCAGCCAGTCCCACCACAGCAGCTCAGATAAACCTTGTGAGTCTGCGCAACAGCAGTCTGACCAATCAGGACGCAGTTCTGGACATGTGCAATGAAGGCCGCCTGAGAAACTCCTGTGTCTCATTGGATGAGAAAACCCGCATCATGAGTCGCTCCGCCTCCTTCAGAGATGGGTTTGAAGAAGGTGAGGGAACTGGAAGGAGTAATGGAGGGAGGGATGTGGGAGGTGGTGGCTCAGGAGTTATGGCTTTGGGCTGTTGAGCAGAAGGTTGTGAGTTCAAATCTCAGCAACTGCTTGAATAAGACACGTAACTCTCTACTGCTCAGCTTCTCAACTGTAAGTGGCTTGGATAAAAGCGACAGCCAATTGGATACGAGTGAAGGGGAGGATGATACATGGTGGAGGACTCATTAAGAGTGAGAGAGATTGAATGATAATCAAAAAGCAGAAAAGAATGGAGAAGGACACATGGATCAGTGACTGAGGGATCAGCCAAATGTGCTGTTCAGTGGTGACTGAGGGAGGAAAAGTGACAGTAACTGTTTAATATGTAACACATAAATGAGTATAAAACAATGATAATACAGTCTGTTTAATAATTTATCTGTAATGATTTTTCAGTTATTACGGGTTGAATCAGGAGCGACGGAGCCGCCATGTCATTGAAAGTCTTTTCTTTCCTTCACTGTATCTTTATCCCTCTCTCCACCTCTCCATCTGCTGTGTGCTTGAATAATGTGCAGCGTTACATAATCCAGCCATTCATAAAACACCCTTTGGGCAAATACTATGTTTTAGCGGTTTTGTAAAACAGGATCAGTGTATCAGATATAAAGATCGTCACACACACACAAACACACTGGGTGGTTCTCCTTCTCTTTCTCTCCTGTCTGATCTCTCATCTATGTGTCATCACATCACTTCCTCTTGTTGTCCTGCGGGGGCGTCGCATTGTCAGGGAGTCTGTGGTTGGTCTGAGAGTCTGTGATTTGCCATGGTGTGTAATTTAATGCCACACACCCGTGTTTCTCTCAGCTCATAGTAAGCTGAACATTATCTTTGCAAGCCAGTGTTCACATCGGGCGTGTTATTGTAGAGAAAAAGTGCTGCCTTGAGCGTTTTTTTTTTTCTTCTTCTGCTGATATGGAAAAAGTAGCTCACGCAACATGTAACACTGTAACCATAGCAGCACTGTTACCACTAAGATCTGCCTTGTATCCGACTGAACCAGCAAGCTAATTATTATTATTATTATTATTATTATTAGTCTCTTTTTTCGAGGAGGACACTGCTTGTCATCACTTTAATAGGAAGCGCGAGTGCTTCTGCTTGCTGTAGGGATCTTGGCGATCAGCAGAAACAGCTAGCTAATGAAATGTTTGTTTTATTAAGGGTTTTATTGAGAAGTTACTTTTTGACCTTTTTTTTTTTGCTCTGCTTTTTTGCTGCTCTTTTTAAACCCAGCTGCATTCTGAATGCACTGCACTCACTTCCTATATTATAACCATAATATATATATATATATATATATATATATATATATATATATATATATATATATATATATATATATATATATATCAGTTAATATATATTAAAGTTAAAGTTAAAGTAAAAGTATTTGATATCTGGGTTTCCCTTTTTTTTTCCCTCCAGTACATGGTTCGTCTCTTTCTCTGGTCTCGAGTACATCTTCCATCTACTCCACGGTGAGTTTTTTCAATTTCTGTTTTTAAGGATTAGAGATATAAATTTATGTAAAAAAAACAAAGTCTATTAGCTCCCTGTGAAGGTGTCACACTAGGAAGAGAGTAGGACAGGAAAGAAAGACAAGGAGAGAGAGAGAGAGAGAGAAATTAGAAAAAGATTGAAGATAAAGAATGAGTGTAAGAATTTTCAATCCATGCATCAGCCACACCGGTGCACTCGCCATTGGGGGCAGAGCTAAAGGTGTGTCTCACTGACAAAGGGAGAGTGCTGACAGAGTGAAGTTCTTAATCTGTGGAAGAGAGAGAGGGAGAGAGAGAGAGAAGAGAACGAGAGACAGACAGACAAACAGAGTATTAGCCGGAGAGAGAATTACTCAGAATAAAAAAACATTAAGTGTAAAAATGATGGCTACTCTGACTATCTGTGGTGATGTGAGTGCATGGCATAATACGGTAGGATCTCACACACACACACACACACACACACAGTTATTTGTTTAAATGCACTTTGTGGTTATGTGTATTTGTTTCTAAATTTCTATGCATATATTTATGTCATTACTTGAATTAAAAGGACAGCTATCTCATTAGGTTCTTTATTTTAGGCAAATTTGAAGTTTTGTGTGTGTGTGTGTGTGTGTGTGTGTGTGTGTGTGTGTGTGTCCTTCTCTGAGGCATTAGCAGAATTCCTGTTTGAAAACCTTAAATCCAGGGCATACAGAATACTAAGACAGTATAATAAACTGTGATAAACTTGTGATTGCAGTGATTATTACTGTATGAATAATGTAATATTGACACACACCTGATCATTAACAAGTGTGTGTGTGTGTGTGTGTGTGTGTGTGTGTGTGTGTGTATACATCTTAGCGTCTCTTTATCTACCCATATGTCTGCCTGTCTGTCTGGTGAGTCCCTGTGCGTGTTGTTTCTCATGCGTAATGGAGTGTGTGTTTCATACCTCAGGCTATTTTTCTTGGCGATAATGTTTGGATGGGTGCTGCTGTAGTGTGTGTGTGTGTGTGTGTGTGAGTGTAGTGAAAACCAGCATGTGCTATCATGCAAGCAGAAAAACAAAAACACAGACAAGTGTAGGTGGACACCAATAATCTATCAGCTTGTTGTCATAACACACTTTGTGTGTTTGCCTGAACACACTAGTACAGTAATGGACTTGCTCAGGGTGTGTAGGCTTCAGAGTGTAGATTTTATTGTTTTAGCAGAGCTATTGAGCAAAATTGGCAGAAGGACTATTGACTTCATAAATTAATAAATGAACTTTTATAATTACTTTTGTTGAATCAGAGTTTATTTAGAGGTGCTGGATGAATTATTACTAAAGTCAAATTTGTTTTACAGTTGACATATTATTGTGTTTTTGTGTGTGTGTGTGTGTGTGTGTGTGTGTGTATGGTTGGACTGGGCACACACTCTTATGTCTTAATGATGACTGGAATACATGACAATTTACACATTGTGGGGACCTTTCACTGTCCCCAGGGATAAACGTGTATAAACGTAAGAAGCGCAGCTTTTTTTTAAAATTCCAACACTGTGTAAGTGTTTAGGGTTTAGTATTAGGTGTACTGCATAGCCTTATTTAATTATAGTTATACTGTTATTACTGATTGTTATACTGTTTTATATTATGTGTGTGTGTGTGTGTGTGTGTGTGTGTGTGTGTGTGTGTAAGTGAGTGATTAGATTAGAATGCCATTGGTCACCTCCATCATTCTAGACACAACATCCCTGTGGAACACTTACTGGGTAAAAAAGCGTGTATGTTAAATCTTGTGAATCATTTTGTTATTTGTTCTTTTCCAGAATGAAGAGAAGTCACAGTCAGAGGTGAGCGCACACACACACACACACACACACACACACACACACACACACACACACACACACAGACATATCTTCTCCTCTCTCACTGTCTCTTTGAGAGGGATTTCCCCTACTTGTGTGCATATCACTTATACACTTATACTTGTACATACTTGCTCTCTCTCTCTCTCTCTCTCTCTCTGTGTGTGTGTGTGTGTGTGTGTGTGTGTGTGTGTTTGTGTGTGTGTGTGCATGCATGTTCTCAATGGCCTGTTGTAAAGACATGCCTGAGGGTGGTTTCACACAGGTCCTTTTTCATGCTCATTTTCAGTAACCGTTTATCTGAATCCAGTGAGGGGCTCTGACACACTGACGTGGAATGAATTCTGTCTCTGGGACACAATGAGAGAGCACAGAACACACACAGACATGACTGATCTCAGAACAGCACTCCGCATGATAACCTTTGTGTTTCATATTGGCTTCAAAGTGCATCAGAAAATCATTCGCATTACTGAGGAGAGATTATGTCTTCCTCTCAGTGATGGCACACTTCCTTCCCGATTCTGTGCCTGACAGCCAAAGAGAGCAGTTGTGGCCATGTTCTCTGCTTGGGAGGGATGTTTTTACACTCTCACCTGTCCATTCTGTCCAATCATGGGCGCTTGTTTTGTGTATGTGGAAGAGGGCGGATAGTGCCGTCCTCCACGTGTGTGCCTTGTGACGCAGCATAAACAGCAGTTCGAGAAGATGTGCTGGCTGACCTCTCATGTCTCAGAGGAAGCATGTCTGAGCCTTCACCTCCCTGGTTGGTAGCTGTAGTATAGAGGGAGAGCTGGCTTTTGGGTGTGAATTGGCAGATGATCAAATAGGGAGGAATAAAGGGGATGGGGTGTTGGTCAATCACAGTTCAAAATCACTGCAACTTGCAATACAGGCTGCAACCATGACAACAATCATAAATATCAGTTTAGACTAGACCTGCACTGCTAAAGACAATGAGAAAGATTAATATTGTGATTGTAAAGTACTGAAAGAACACCCTTTGAGGTATAACCATAGAAACAGTATAACTGTGAAGAGAGAGAGAGAGAGAGAGAGTGTGTGTGTTTGCACGTTACTCAGTAGGAGTTGTGTAGTGTACGTTCTTCTCTGATCTTAACTTGTGTTGTTTGCACAAAAACACAGACACATACACACACACTGACAAACACACAGACACACACCTGCAACTCTTCTTTTATTCTATTCCTATTCTCTTTAACACACCTGTGCAAATGAACGTTTTATGGCGCCCCACCTATGTTCACTCGTGCTTCAGCTCTCTTTAACCTTTGCAATTTGTTGCCTTCTTTATTCATTCCATTTTTGTCTTTTCTCCTTTATCTTTATATGTCTCTATTTGTCTATTTCTGTCAGTCTCTCTATTTATCTCTCTTTTTTGATCCACATTTATGTGTATTTTTCTTAACAACAAGAACAACAACAACGATAATAATATTTTCAGATTCGGAAGTTGCGCAGAGAGCTGGACGCCTCGCAGGAGAAAGTGTCGGCACTGACAACACAGCTGAGTGCTAACGTGAGTGCGCACACACCACACACACACACACACACAGAGCTAATCCTGCTTTAGTTGTGCTGCTGAGCAGCAGAATGGGCGTATGTAACCGGTTCTTCGTTGCGTGAGTGAGCATGTTGCATGTTATTGTCTAATTGATGATGTGAGCTGATTTACTCAGTGCTGTGACTCACCATCTCT